GGAAGACGAGAGCACGTTTCCATCTTTCTTTTTCTACATCTGTTAACCTGTGTAAGAGAAAAGTATGCTCTCAGTGCAGGAGAGACTTGGATCACATTTCTTGAATGTATCAAGTTCTGCTTATATATTTTTGAGCTACATAATTATCATTTTTCAGAAATCATATTAATTCTAGTGATTAAAAGCTACCTGAAAATGCCTCATAGACTCCTAAAATAACTCTTCCTCTTTTAACTTGCAAGCTTTTAGTATCCTCCTCCTTTGAGTTGGAAAAAAAAGGTAATTTTGCTAAATACTGGAATTACAGGTTTGCTTTAGACTTGAAGGAAAGATTGCTTTCATAGAACAAAAAGATAAAAGACTGAGGGTAGGAGAGCACAGGGAATCAAACACCACAGAGTTTTTGAGTGGGTTCTTATGTTAACTCACAGGTTAAGGGCAGGCAATTTTGCTTAAGCAGGTGGCCCACATTTTCAAGTCAGAGAGTGTAAAGCTCATAGGAACGCCCTGGGAAGAAATACAGCGCTACTGTGTGCTGACCTTTCGGAAAATCAAGCTTCATGTGACTTGATACTACACGGTTTTAAGCTGTAGGAGTTGAACCTCCTGATCCATGACCTTTCCATATGGCCCTAAATCTCTCAGCTTTAGGGACACGGTTAATCGGGAGGGAGGAAGCGCCTGCACGAGCGGTGCCAGCGGCTCTGCTGCACCTCGATGGGGCAGGACTTCTTGCTGCAACACCCCAAACTCTCAGTTTTCACATCACCAAGTCTTTAGGTCTTTCCGCTGCATTCGTCTGCTAGTCCTGCCCTTCCTACTCAGGCAACTGGGAAGAAACTGCATTAGCAGAGGTGCTGGGGAACCTTCAGCACAACCTCTGCCCTCTTTAACTTGCACAGCTGCAAACAACCTCCTAACAGCAACGTAACATTCTGCCACCATGAGCACGGATCTATCTTAGCATCCCCCCCATGCCTTTCATAAACTTAGAGACAATTAAAGACTTTTAAGGTGACTGTAAGTTGCAGCTAACTGCTCTAGGATTTAAAGCCAAGGTCTATGTCTGCTGTGTCTTTCTTCCAGGCTTGAGTCGCCGCAAGCAAAGTAGAATTTGAATAGTATAGGCACAGTTCATAAGATCTTGCTTTCCATGAATTCATCTTCATATCAAAAGGAGAACCTCTGTGTAAGAACATGGAAATCTCCTGCCTTTGATATGGAACTGATGAGGCACCCTATGTCCTTCTAGGATTATGAAATACCCTGCCGGTATAGCACAAAAAATGAGAGGGAAAGGAACAGCATAAAGTAACTCAAAACAAAGGAGGCAGAAATTCAAAAATAGCACCAGGAACTGAGATGAGAGACTGTGAGAGGTGAGCAAACTGCAACAGGACAATTTCTGCATCCAAGGAGGACGCTCCACCAGCCCATGACCACATGGCAAGTTCTCCTGAACCTCTGGAGCAGTGGAGAGCTCAACACAAGATACTCCGGTCTTCTAACGGGAAGACTAACCGAGGCAAAGTACATTTGGCTGGAGACCAATGTTTCATAACCACATCTTCAAATCAGAGGAAGGAAAAGAAGTGTGAACCAACCCCCATTTTTGAAATGGCAGGTCACTCATTTCCTGAGCTTACTAAATGGGCCATGAGAATAATGACACCACTAAGAGAGTAGTACAGTTATCATAAAAGCTAGTTATATGAGGACTTTTTTTTCTAGACATCAGAGAAAAGTTTTGGTGCAAAGAGTAACAAGATCAGAAAAAAATAGGATTTTTATTTTTAAACTTACACCTAATGAACAAGAGTTTCCCCAAGATAAAATCATGATGAGGACAGGTAAACTGGACAACGTGCGACCTGCGCAGCTCCCTAGGCTGCTCAGCTGCACTGAGTGGGCCCAGAGGTGCATCCAGCCCCATACTCGGGTTCTGACAATGGCCAACAGCAGAAACTGTAGAAAAACAGGGGAGCTGATAGTGAACGTTCACTAAGACAAAGCTGAAATGCTTTTGTCTTCGCTGCCTTTGGACCTCTGCAGGCAGTGATTACACATATGAATATCATTCCCCATATTATGCAGAAAAATATTTCCTGTTGAGAAGTGTGCTTAAATGTAGCTACAGGTAATACAGACTGAGGAGAACCTGTAACTGGGTTGCTGACAAGCACAGATGACCAGGCTTGGGGGGCTTTTTCTTTTCGTTCAACTTTCAAATATGGAATTTCCTGCAAAATTCACTTTAAGATCCGGGCCTGAGGCTCTGAACCCCTTCTGAGTAGTGATTAATTCTTACACCAGACTCAAACTCATGATACGTTCACTTGGTAACTATGATACATTCACGTAATACGCCGCGGTGATACGGGTGAATTAAATCCCACTGAAGCTGGTAAGTTTAACAGCCAGCTTTCAGTCAGGGTAAGTAAAAATCATTGCTGAGGGAACGTAAGAGACCTAAGTTTGCTCTCTATAAAAGCTACAAAGTGACTGTTCTTATTGCCAGGTACTTTGTGCTCACAGCATTATCAAGACTGGGACAAACCTAAATCTAATTTTTAAGGCAAGATTTGTAGCACTGAAGTACTTTAAAACATCTTCAAAAGGACTCAGCAAAGGAGCAAGTTGTAAGTCTCAGAATTTCTCACTTTTTCCTGGTTCAGGAGGAAAAAAAAAAGAAAAGAAAAGAAAAAGAGACCCACTCTGCAAGAAGAAGGTGTAGAAAACAGAGGCGGGGGAGAGCTGAAAGAAAGAGGGGAGGAACACGCTTACCTGCCATAAAGCAGGAGCAATGCCTAAATGTCTCAGTGATTGGCATTCAATAAATAAGGTGATGATTTAAACAGATATAGTCAGCTAGCAGATGTTAAAAGGCCACCTGATATTAATTGTGAGTGGGCCAAATAGAGTTGCTCAGAAAATCCTGTCATGAATAATTTCTCTAGGCTTAGCAATTCTGCTTGCTTCTGGGATTTGCTCTTTTCTATCACGGTTGAATAACATTCTGCTAATTATTAATTGGATAATGATTTGTTTCTCTTACTAATTGAATAATGTGTTCAGAAGTGCATTTGGAAAGCTCCCAGCTCTAGTGACCATAAATATTTTGATTGTATCTTCACTTAAATAATATGGCTTGGAGGCAGGTCCCAAATGACAGAAAAGGAATCTCTGTCCCTCTTCACCCCCTGGGGAACCAGAACCACGGGCATCCAGAAGGGAACATCTCAGCCCTCACTGCCCTCCTGCATCCAAATCTTAGGAGTACTCTGGAGATAGACTGCAGGAGGGAGGACACACCAAAGGGTTCTGCTACGCAGGATTGACTGCCCCGAGCCAGGCCCGTGCTGCCATCATTGCACCTCAGGTAGGAGGGTGAGGACGAGAAAACCAACAATAATCCCCCTGCACCCGGATCCCACTCCCTACTACCTCCCTAAGAGAAGCCTGGCCATTAAAAATGCCCCATAAATATCACTGGCAGAAAACAGGCTTCAAGGTTATTCAGAGAAGCCTCCCCCATAGACAAGCTCCTGTTAATAGCAATAAAAGCCTGGAGTTTTCCAAAGGAGCAAGTGGCTGCACGGACAAACCCGCCTCCCAAAGCCCAGCAGCTCCCTTTATGTGGGAGGAAGGGCACGTGGCAGGGAAAGGGCCCGTGTCCCTCCTCCACGGGACGCGGAGGCAGGATCAGTCCCTGCCAGAGCCCGGTGCTGCAGCACCAGCCTCGCGGAGCTGCTTCCTGAACTGAATCCTGCCAGCCGGAACAGTAACAAACAGACAGATTCACTCTGGGGCTCCATCACTTCATTAGTTGCTTTTTGCCCCCCCCCCCTTTTTTTTTTTCTGGCTTTTACCACACATGGCTCAGGCAGCTGATCCTCATCCTGAAGACCCTCCACAGACCACTCCGCTTCTTTCTCGGCTCCCTTTGCCTCAGGAACTTTAGCGGTTCCTGCTTGGCTTCCTAATCTCTCCCTGAAACTTCACTTCCCTGCTCTGATCACGGAGCTCACCAAGCCCCTACACAACATTGTGCCGTGTCCCAGGCTTTTTGGCTGGAAGTTTGAGAGAGCATTAGTGTCTTCGGTGGGCTGCAGGAAAGGAACACGTTTGCCCCTGCAGAAGCCAAGCTAAGATAAGCACTGTTGTCTGTAAACCAATTTAGAGCAATGATTTTGATAAAATGCAAATTATGGCGACTAGGAGAGAATAACCTGATGAAATGACATTTCCTGCTTGCCCCATCGCTCTATCTCTGCCCTATCTTGGAGGCACCTGCTTTTGTTTGACATAGGCGATTTGATTAAATGGAAGAATTCGAGCAGCTGCAAGGACAGAACCACAAGCTAAAACTCCCAAAAGGTGGGAAACTGCAGAATATGCTGTGTATCAATCTAGACTGGAGATTAGTACAAAATTGCAAGGGTGAGACCACTGACTGCTGAAATCATGTGGAGGAGATGCAGAAGGGAACACCACAGAGCCGTTAGAATTAAACATGGTTGTCTCAAGCAAATACCTGATTTCCATGTTGGAAAAAAACGTAAGGACTGTGAATTTAGTGAGAAGAAATAAAAATTCATCAGAAACTAAAAAGTGAAGAGGGAGTTTCAAACAAAATTATGATTGACATATAGTTTTCCCTTCTAATTTAGCTTATACTTCATGGGATTTTAATACAAATAGACCTCCATCTGGTATCCTGACGTTGTACAGCCAAGTTCATCCAGCTCTATTTAATTTCAATTGCAGGGAATGTCAGAAGATCCTTACATTAAACTGAAGAAAATCTGAGTTCTGAGAGCTGCAAGATGATATTAGAAAAAGCACATTCAACATTTATGGTGTGTTTGTGAAAGCTGCTCCCATCCAGCAAGGGCACAGGCACACACATAAGACAGGGCCCAGCGTGAACTGCTCAGGAGATGATTCTGCTCAGGACGGGGTAGGTGATGTGATGTGCTGTACATTCACTGTCTCCTTACCAGAACTGCTGCAGCGAGACGGTTCCACAAGCCGGCCCGTCTTATCGTAGCAGGCGATCGCTCGCAGTCGGACACCTTTGCCACACTCCCTGGTGTCTCCATGAAGTCTCATTCCTGGCTGCAGCTCTGGTTGGCCTCCTTCGATAATGCAATCCGACCAATTTCCGTGGGGCTGGGAGGTGAACGTCTCACAGGGGCACGGCTCGGTTTCGACTTGAGGATAAACTTCTGTGTCCTGGCATTTGTCTCGCTTTCTGCTTCTCCCTGCTCCAACCAGAGAAATCTGCTCGTTAGCTTAACATCTGCTGCTTTTGATAACAACACGTCATATTATTTATACTTGCAGGAATTCAACACATTAGAACCAAGACAACCTGAATGTTAATATACAGAAATGCTTCTGAAGCATCTATTAGCTCTTGCCAGTGTTTTGGAGTGCAAGGACAATGTATTTATCTCCAGGGGCAACCAGAAAACTTGGAAATACCATGTGATGGATAGGACACTGAGCAAAATGCAAAGTCCTACTGTAGTAATGGTCTGCTGAGAAAATTCTTTGTAGTTTAATATAATATCATTTTTCGCTAATTATCTGATGCAAACAAATTGATTGTCTTGTCTCTATTCCCCTTGCAATCAATGGTTGCTAAGGCAACTTGCAAAGTAGTCTACATTAGCCAAAACTTCTCTTTGAGACTACTTTACAAATTAGTTCAACATGTACTCTGCACACAAACTGTACTTTGAAGAAATCAGAGAAGATAATCCTTAGCACGCTTTTAGGTCTATAAAGCATTTCAATGGTTACATTTGGTTTAATGTTTTCTTTTGCTCTATTCCTTAAAAGATTTTAAAAGGGAGGCTGTTTAAAGACCTTTCCTCTTCAGGAACTTCAGGAAGCAGAAGAACTGAAATAACGCTGCAGTCCTGCTCTTTGCAGCTGGACTCTCCAGCCTCTGCTCCTGGAGGACATTGACCCCTCCTGCAAGGCCCAGCTACCAGAAGAGAGAAGGTAACGAGCAGAATTCCTGCTCCCGGATCCCTACAACTGCTCAAGGGAACAAAAGGGTCATGTACAGCCTCTGAAAGGTAAAATCAGTGCTGTTCTTGCCACGGGTTAGTCAAGGAGAAACGGAGCAAACTTTATGCTGTCTCAGCTCAGGGATGTCTTTCTACTCAGCATCTACACAGAAAGGGAGAATCCATCTGCAGCAACAAACCCTATGTACACCACAGCCTTCAAAGGCTCCTTCGGGATTCCAGACACTCTAAAAATAATTTTGTAAACATTTTTTTAAAGCTGTGATGTCAAAAGCAATGTTTCCTCTTTGCTATTGTACACAGTGAGATATTAAAACCAAACAAAAAAACAACCAAACAAAATCCTTATATGACCAAAAAAACCCAACCCTCTTTTCTATGACTGTACCAATACAATCATTCCAACACACGTCAGCAGGAGCAGGAACTTGCCTGGCATCAGTGCAAGACTTTTGCATATACACAGGTATGTCCAAAAAAAGGGGCACATAATAAAAGCTCACTCATATCGTTGTCCCTCAAGCCCCACAGTTCTCCTCCTGCATGGACTCAGCCTTGCCCTTACCATGTGCAGCACATCAGGCACGAGCAAGGCTGTGCTAATAATCAATCTCACACTCACACGACCCTTCTTCCAGTTTGCCCTGCCATCTGTTGTGTAGGAATCTTCCCACTAATGAAGTTGCCATTAAAACCCTATTTTGAGGGCAAAAGTGACACTAGTTCCAGGTTTGTTACAAAGGAGTAATAGTATTAGACTTGATGACAGAGATATTTTCATTATCTTCATGGACTAGTAAAACCGCCATCACCAACGTTTTCAAGGACACAAACGCTTTAAATAAATAGTATTTTTATTTTTCAGATTGAATGAATTTCTGTATGCCAATGAATACTGTATACATTCCATGTTACACATAGTACACACTATGTATTTAAAGCATATGAAATATTAAAAACATTAAAAATTTACCTATCTGTAGCCATAAAAAACAGCAGCTCTATCCATACTATACAGTAAATATTTGGCTGCATTACTAATTAATATAATAATATTACTGTCAAAAATGTAATGTTTTCACTATAGTGACTTTGAACTTTTTTTTCCTAATAAGTCTTTTGCTTCTTTAGTAATGGCTACTTTTATCTGTAGAGTCCACGATTGCTTAGAAAGCAAAATGACTAGTACTATCTCAACTGGTTGGGAGGCAAGCTAGGAGATTCCCACTCAATGGCATCATATATGGACTTTCATAATGAAGTCAAAGCCTTCATCTGAGTGTGCACATATGGTGCTGAAAAGGGTACAATTTATACAATCATATGAAAAAGGTGAAATACAAATGCATAAAGGTCTCAGCACCAAGAAATATTTCCCAAACAGCACATTCTTTACACCCTCGGATTTAGTCCATATGTAGGAGAGTTTTTTTCTCAGGGCTTTTGGTCTCCAGCTCTGATTTTCATGTTTTATTCAAAGACAGAGCAGCAGCAGCCTCCTCCAGTGCCCTTTCAGAGCAGTGGCCAAAGCAAAATCAATGTGTAGTTTGGTTCTTTCCTTCCTGCTCCCTGGATTTCTCTGGTGCCTGCAGCACCATTCGGGATTCCCGTTTCACTAGAACCACCTCCTCTGTAGGAAGTCTTGGTGTGGGAGAGCAGCGAGGACAAGAGCTCCTTCCCATCCTGAGGAAGGGAACCTCGTGCAGTCACAGCCACGTCTCCCTGAGGACACACTTGGGTGGCCTTTGCTCACAAATGCAGTACAAGGGAGGAGATGAGCATCAAACCTTGACGATCAGACACCGTTTTTGGATGGACTTATCTGATGCAGAATGGAGTAGGAAAGGATACCCCATAACCTGGAGTAACTTGCACACATATATTTGAAGAAAATTCATATTTAAGACTACCAAGAAGTGACTACTCCATTTCTTATACCATCACATTTTCTGTAAGATCTGGCATATATTTTTCTGATGGTGAACTTCCATTTACTTAAAAAATACAGGCATTGAAAAAGAGATTTTAAAATAAATTATTTGACAGAAACAATAGAATATTGTATAATAAAGACTTTTATGTAAAAGAGAAACCTTTATCCTTTAATGAGCTACACATATGAATAAAACAGTTTGATTCCATTACATTTGTATGACATTACTGTAAGTTACTTCAAATTTGATCATTCCAACAATAACAAAACGGATAATCAAATAATCGCGCAGAGTAGGTATTTTTACAACATCACTTAGTGGTGGAAGCCTTTGATGTTTCCCCTCTAGGAATGTAAAAAACTTACAGTAATGGAGAAAACTAAGCCCAGCTAAAACATAGTACTTAAATGTAAAACAAATATATGTGAAGTTGGAAGTATGTCAAATAACAATAACAGTAAATTTCTGACAAACCTTCTAAAAAAAATGATTCATTTGGATTTCATTTAGCCAAGCATGGAGAGGCAAAGAAAACTCCTAATAAGATAGGTGGCCCTGAACTATTAATGTTCTCTGGTTTTAAGGGTTTTCAGTTTGGCCAGGGCTCAGATAACATAATTACAAAATACAGAGTAAGTTTGAGAAAAGGTACCATGAAATGGCTTGAGCTAGAGTGCTTTATTTATATAGATATATAAAATGGAACAAAATGAGTTTAATGATACTGTGTTTTCTTCATTCATGGTATTAATTTGTTGTTTTGAACTACAGGATATTGTTGGACACAAACTCCCAGTCTTAAACTTTACCTAGATCTCACCTTAACAGATTAATTAGTCAAATCTACTCATGCACCACATAGTCACTCTTTTCTTTATTTGGTTTATGCCTAAAATGGCCTGTATATAATTTACAGTGTGCACGAAACACTCTCTTTCCACCACTGAGTTTTCTGCACTTCTTTCCCCTGCAATGTGCATGCATAAAGAGGGCCATGACCAATATCAGATCAGAAATCAATTCATCTCAACATCTAAGAAATGGTATTTGCAAGCATTGCCATCAGATATATATTGTAAGAAATTAACTCTACCTGTGAGTGACCGTCTTCTACTTCTTGTTGATTCACAGTCGAAAGAGCATGCCGTGAATTTAGACCAGGGGGTAAATGTGCAGTCATCTTTGCAGGGAACGAGGCACTCTTGCACAAGGGAAGGCATAGGTCCTGCCCACGTCAAGCACTCACTGACATCTGCAGAATCGTTGGTCTCCGTGAGGCATGTAACAGCTGAAGAATAAAATACAGAAATCCTTTTATTGCTTTATGTATTGGATTATACTCTAGTCAGTTGGTATTTGTGCTCTATGTGAAATTCAATCTTCTGGGTTAATAGTATAAAGCTGATTTAATTTTAGGTCATTATTCATGTATCACTCAAACTCATGCTAGCAGCTTCACAAAATGACAAAGACATATTGTTACTTCAACAAGTTTGTTATCTCCATGATGTAGATGCGCTACTCTCGAGGAACTGGCCGCTTTGTGCATTGGGGCAAGAGCTTAACAAATAACGACAGTTGATGAGGACCAGGATTCCCAAACAGTGATGCAGACACCACCCATGAAACTCAACTTACCTCATTACTTCATCCACAGAACTGAAAAAGAGAAGAAAACCGGCCACCGAGATGAGGGGAAGAGCCGTTTAAGCAGCAGATGCTACTTTGGCAGCTACACCTCTTGCATGAGGCAAGAGGTCTTCCCGAGGAACCAAGGCCCTACGAGGCCACTGCATAGGGTTTCTGAGTGCCCAGCCCTGGACTCAGATGCATGGATTTCATCTGTGTTTCCTTCCCAACCCACAGCCTCTTTCCAGGGCCCCCTGTCCTTTTGTGGAGCTAACCTGCTAACCAGAATTAACGACACTGGGACACTGGGCACTGCATAGTCATGACGAGAGGACAAAAATATTGAAGTATAAATCTCTGTCACAGGAAGCCTATAATAAAACTTGCTAAAGTTTCAGTGAATTAATAATAACTAATTATAATAAATAAAAACAGCCTGCACATCATGGAGGCTTTCATTTCATTAATAATAATTAATTCTCAAAAAATCTCCAAGATTATAGTCTATTTATATCCTACATTGTAGGTTAAACAAAGCACAGATAGGTCGTGAATTGATTACAGTAATAAAGTCAGGGACAGAATCAGGAATTGAATCTGGCCCCAAGAGTTTAGTCATGTCACCCTCCGATTTCATGCAAGTCCACACCTTGTATCATAAAGCTACAGAAGATGAAATGATTTAATACAGATTTTATTATTTAACAACCTGCAATATTATTTTACGGAGATTCCTAAATAATTCAGGTTTTTGAGGTTGCATATATTTTTTTCTTGTTGCCAACATTCAATATAACCAGGAGTGCATGAAGAAAGAGGGAAATATGACTCATTGTTTTCTTAGTTAAAAGATTTACCAGGGCACAACTTTGAAAATAAATTGCATAAATTTTCTTTTTTCTTTTTATTTTCCAGCTACAGTATTGTATGAGAGAAAGGGACAAGGTGGCAACCACCTGGAAATAAAAAAGAATTTATTAAAATGTCCTTAGATTTCTGAGGAAAAAATCAGCATTTTAAAGAGCATGCAAAAGGCAAGCAATTGCTAGAGTCTCTCCAGACTCCAGTGAGAGTAAATCAGCATATTAATAACTACCTCTAAACTGCTGATCCTTGCCTTTCACTTTCAATCTTTTTGACCCTTCCTACCTCTCGGCCCTGGCAGCCAGAAGCTTGGAGAGATTCCTGCTCTCAATTACCAACGCGTGAGGACAGGGGTCACCAGGCTGCAGGAGACGGCGCTGTAATTGCCCTCTCGAGGAAGGTTAAACAAGTAGGAGACTCCCATGTCCAAGCTCCGCGGAGCCTCATTACCCTCGGCAAGGACACGGGGCAGTGCGGAGCCGTCCCCGCGGAGGCTGCGCGGGTGCCAAGAAGGAGCAGTGTCCCACGCCGCGCACCGACGGACCAACGTTTGCAATTGCATAACAGCAAAATCCAATTGCAATATTTACTCTGACAGACCACTGCAACTCATTCGTGACATTAATTAAAGGCGACACAAGTGATGGAACTGTTAAATATCAGTGGTAAAGCAGACAGGCCATGCTGCAATGAGTTATTATCGACCAGCCTGATCCTCTGCAAAGGTATCTTTGATTTTGAGCATATAAATAATTCCCTGAGTTCAGTGAGGGTGTTTATATTTAAAGTAATGACTATATAGAAATGTATGAGATCAGGGCAAATATCTGACAGAAAGTAGGGAGTTTAAAGAAATTAGCGGCAATAGGAAGTGAGGGCAAAGGAAAGTTAAAACAAAAAATAATGGAAGACGAGTGAGTGGCTCTGCAGATGCCCAGGGGACAGTTGCACAGACTGGCTGGGAGGGCAGCGAGGTTCTCCTTGCTCTCAGGGCACAAAACAAGGGGCTGGCCCTGGCACCGATGGAATTTGTTTCCTCTCCGACTCCGCTAGCATCTTCCAAGCCGATGCCAATGCCCGAGCGCTGCAATCTGGTCTTAATTATCTTCAAAAGCCTGAACCAAGCACGCCTGATCTTCTAAAGCCCTTCTCAGCACGTCAGTTATAAGGGATGATGTGATTTCTTATATATGCTGTTTGAGGTGAGCAGCACGAATTGCTAAAATAAATGAAATAATAAAGGAAAGGCATTTTAATGGTCTCCTGAGCAACACATGGGCAGCTGGATAGCTCTAAGTTTGTTTATGGAAAGAGTCACCTGCTCCTTGCCTGTTGCAAACTTATTTCCTGATTACATTACCTTTATCTTTTAAGAGAAAAATATTTTCAGACACAGGCACTTCTGGAAAGAGAATAAGACAAATTTGGTTTGCAGGGGAGCTTTAGGGAAGTTAATGAAATTATTTCCCCTTGATGGTTTCAGTATACTGATTGGTGTGGCTCATAAGCGTTTTCTGTTACATGAAGAACATTTCCTCACTCTCCTCTGCACAAAGCTTTTAGATAAACCCCCACCACAGAAGATCTTCTGTGTCACCCAGTTCTTTTAAGTGGGATACCCCCTGAGGGGCAAACACAGCCTCTACCAGCCCTGCGCATGGAGGAGAAGTCACATCATAACTATAAATCCCTCCTAGACATAATGTGCAATTTCTACCATCTCTGCAGCATTTTAAATTGACACAAATGTATGAATAGAAACAGCTAATAACAGGACACTGCCAGATAAAGGGTTTCAAATTATAATCTTGATTCCCACAAAGAGGAGAAATGCAGTATTTCCTTCCGAATTTCAGCTATTCTTTCTTATTACTACCAGTAAACACCACCAAATTGGAACTAAACACTTGGGGCCAAGCTTGAGGATGCCAATTTAATGCCATTCTATTGATATAAATATAAAGCAATGGCTGGCACACAGAAAGTACATCTTCTTGCATAGCAATAAAAAGGAGAAGAGAGTGAATTAAACCAAGGTAGCCAAGTTTAAAACGTTAAAAGGAAGTATTTTCTGTAAAGCAAAGAGCTTGCATGCTGCACCTCTGCAGCATGCTGAGGGGCAAAGCCTGAGACAGGGAACAGCTGGCTGGATACACCCAGCAAGATGCTGGCACAAATTAGTCATTAATATTAGCAGCGGACACCCCTTGGAGTCGGGGCACAAATCAATTGCTCTTTGAATGGCTTCGGGAGGACGTTTCCTGCACGGTCGGTACCGGCTCCTGTCCGGATACTGAGCTATGACAGCCTCTTCCAGCCCCACAACCTCTGTCTTCATGTTTTATATTTACACAGGCAACTACGTTTGTAAGCTGTCGTCTTAGCATATGGCATCCGGAAGTAGTATTCCTTAACTACATTTATCTTTTAACTAAAATTAAATAGCAGACATTTATTCTGTAAACTTTTACATGGTGAAATCAAATGCTTTTATGTTGTCAAATTGCAGAGATACTGAATACATCTTTAGAGGACTTTCTATCACTCTTGATTAAAATAAAAAGAGCGGAACTTGCATGCTCTCCATAGGTGCACATGACTTGCCGTGCTATAGGCACTTTAACAAAAGTGAATACATTTAGAAAGAAATATTATGGCCAAAACATTGCAGGCAATAAAGAAAGATAACATAAATATGGTTCCTCTTAAGCAAAAATCCAATTACAGACATTCTGGGTAATCGCATTCATTTAGCAAAGTTATAATCAATCCTCCTTCAAAAACACATTTCAACAGATTGAAAGGGTAAAAGGCTGTGTGAATATCAAATACCAAACAGTGACATTATACCCAACCATGGCACTTCAATTTGGGGTACCTATATTAGAGGTTTCCTATGTCTGTAATTAAATGTTGTTAGAACATCTGAACACGAGGCCTGGTAACTGCAGACCCTGAGCTCAGGCTGGATGCTAAAGTGAAGCCATGTCCTAGGGTCAGTCCCTTGATGGGACTTACTGGGCACCCTACAACAAACAGGAGATTAGACAAGACGATGTAATAATCTATCTCTGCATTAAATTTCATGAATCTGAAAAATCAAAGCCAGCATGTAAAGTCAAAGTAATTATTTTAATGCAATGTTTATCTTTGTATTGTTCAGAAAAATGCTTATCCTGTAAGTTGTAATTACTCTCATCACCCCTCAGTGTCACAGTAACTAGGTAACATCATTCTCACTAACCGTACGTGCAAAGGAGTCCACGGATAGCACAGCCTTTAAAATCAGCTTTAAAGATTCAGTCTTGCTGCCTGCAAGCATAGTCTCATAAATCAAGATGATATCATTTCTTTTCCATCTTGATGCTCTTCCACACCTACACCTAGTTCCTCTGAAATGCCACGCGGAGCGTTCTCGTTATCCTCGTTATCCTTGGTGCGATACGGAACCCCGACCATGGCAGGTCCTTCCGACACCGCGGGCCGGGCCACACACTGGGCACAACGACCAGGGGCTCTGCTGAGACCAGGGCTCACGATTAGGATCCTGACATGTGTCCGCGCGGAACTTCCTCACTCTGAGGAAGCGAAGGGCGTCCGAGCTCCGGGCTTAGCAAAAGAAACCGCAATAAAGAGAGAACTGTAATAAAAACTCAGAAAAAAAGAAAAAAAAGGAGCAAATAATGCCAGGAAGGGCATCACAGGAAGAAATCCTGCAAAAGCTACTGAAGTGGATTTGGAAGTAGTTACACAGCAGGGAAAACAACTCCGAGATCACCAGGTTGCCCATTCTAT